CATTTCAAATGCAAAGCCAAGTCCATCCCTAATTTTACACTGACTGCAGCATGCTAAACTGAGTTTATTCAACCACGAATGACCCCACCTCGGGGTAGACACAGGGAAATGTTCAAGACTGTAAAGTCCTGGAGCTGCCATGTCTGAGGAGAAGACAATAGATGGGAAGAGAAGGGAAATGAATCAAGTTAAAGGAGGAGGATTCAATGATCAAACCCCGAGGAATTGAAAAGCAGAACAAGATGGGAAAATGGGGATTTTTCCCCTTTTGAGGCCCTCTCTTGAGGCCATCAGAAAGCAAGGCCCTCAAGAATTAATTCCCACATTGTAATTAAAGCACACAAACGTAATAATTTCATTTATTTTGTACATATTTAACATGGAAAGAACCACAGTGCATGTGATGTAGTGCTAAATACAGGAGAAAAATTAATGGATGGCTAAAATCTCCTAGGGTCCTAACTTAAATGGAGAGTCACTACAGACAGTGGAAGATCTCTTCAGACTCATCCTTCTCCGTGTGCAGGAGAGACAAGGGAACAGAAGGTGCAGTGCTAGAGCACTTACTTAAAAACTCATTAAGTGCCCACAATTCGATAACAACTGAATAATGCTACAGTTAAGACTGGGAAGCACTGTAAGAAGTGAGAGGCAGGGTATAAATAAATAAAATTAATATAAGATGACTTTGATGGGAAATTGAGATGCACAGAAATAATTGCAGTTCATCATATAATCTCACTGTTATGCAAGGACTGTGGAGCAAAAAAAAAATTCTTTTGAGAACAGTCCCATTCTTATCTACTCAAAAGTAGGCCCCTATACATTTGAAAAGTCATACAGTTAAGCAAGGAGAGAATTATAGCCTTGGTAGCACATCTGCGCAGCACCATGCATTCTTTAATCAATAGTAAATCTGTGCAACTTTTATTTAACATAATTCCAAGGAGAGAAAGGAAGGCCAGGAAGCCTATAAACCAGCCATCTATGAATTAAGACTAACCTATAAGCCATCCATCTATATAACAGCAGGCTGCAACTGAAATCACAGCGCTCTGGTGCTCCTCACGCTTCACTGGCTGGTGTTCAATACTGGATTTAGGTCAAGGTCCAGATCTTGACCTTCTTTGCCCCTGGTAAGCTGCACCTCTGATGGCCTCTTGATATGACCTATATGACAGCTGCATTCATTAGAGATGCTGCCGTTTCAGGGCCAAGGGTGAAATGGGTAGGAGCAGAGGGGCAGGCTTGCCTGGCAGATGGCCCACAGCTGTGCCCTTAAACAGCAGAGGCTCCAAGGATCATGGATCTTATCTTCCTAACCTTGTCAGTGAGAAAGCCCACTGTACGTAACAGCATCTTTGCAACAGCAACTCCGCCCAAGGGCTTGCCACTGTTGGACCGAAAGAACACATTTCTTTACAACAGGCGCAGTCTGCCTACTTGTGTGTGTGTGTGTGTATACATACATGTGTGCATGCCTGTATATAGCCCGGTTGAGACCAGAGGTTGCAAAATTTCATTTTTTGAACTCCAGCCAGGGGGTTCTGTATATTTCAAAGCTGCCCTCTTTTGAAAAGCTGAACGGACCTGCAACTTTTATCAATGCTCACACAGATGTGCAAGCGTGTACATGCTGCGTCCTACAAATGCTCACTTTTGCATATAAGCAAATAAGTAAGCGAACAAATAAATATTTAAAAATGCTCATGAAAGCACACTTCTACAGAAAGATTAAGGACAATATGATGGGCTTAAGGAAGTCATCATTTAACTATATGGACAGATTCTAAAAAACCCATTTATTAAATTCATAGAATCAACAGGACAATTCAGCAGTGAGACTTAAACCTGTTGTCAAAAACACACAAATAGAGATCAACGTTCCATTTTGACATGAAGCACATTAGTTAGAAATGGAAAAGAGGAATTAATATCTGGTAAGCTGCTTTGAGTACCCAAATGGGCTTGTTAGGTGGGCTGAAAATGCTGAAATAACATATTATATATATTTTAATATATTTTTAAAAATTCAGTTATTCCAATTTTCCATCTATTAATCTACTAGAACCACTGCTCTGCTTGTCCAAACGTATGACCATACGGCATTGTGCAGTACCAAATATACACTCTCCATGCTTATCCAAGTTGACCGATAAACACTTTCTGTGTATCAGTTAAACTCAGGACAGAAACAGACATTAGAGATAGCTTGTAATTTGAGCTGAAAACACATTAATATTGCAATGAGGTGACTAAGGCAGTCTCTCTGGATTTATGAAATTGATTCAAAAAAATCCCATGTCCTGAAGATTAATCAACAGACAAAACTAATTTACTTACTTCCAGAAATGAGAACAACGCCTCCTTTGACAGTCAGATGCTTCTATTAGTTAAGGATTTTCCTTTTCTATTCATAAGTCATTTCTAATGTTACACTTCTAACCTCAGATACAGATGAGTAGTCTCATTCATGTTCTAAGGCAGTGGTTCCCAATCTTGAGTCCCCAGATCTTCTTGGACTCTTGGCCAGCACAGCAAGTGGTGACGGCTTCTGGGATTTTTAGTAGAAAAACATCTGATGACTCAAGGCTGGGAACTACTGTTTGAAGGATATGATCAACTGCCCAACTGCAAATACTGCCCACTGCAGCCACACTTAACAAGTCATCGGATCCAGGACAACCCATATAATTTTGGAGACTTGGAACCAAATGATATGTATGCAAAAACTTGCAATTTACATATTTTAAAAATCAGAAGGAAGCAGGATTGATTCAGATGGGGCAGTGTGTGTGGATGGGTGGCGTAAATGCTTTCTCTTTGATCCACTCTTTCGCCACATCCGAAGATGCTTTTTGACCTGGGAGGGACGTTATCACGGGATCCAACAGCCAAGCTAATTTGTCTTTGATTTCTGCTCAAGTAGTAAGCACTTTGTAGCAGTATTTGTATCCCTTGGGCGGGCAACTCTGTTCCACTTGTGTGCAAAAACAAGTCTGTGTGACTGCATCTGCCAGAAACAGTAAAAAAATGTTCGGTTGGACAAAGAGGACCTGCTCTACGAGATCAGCTTAAAATCACATGGCACCCTCTCTTATTCGGCTAACCTGTGTTTTGGATAATGTGGACGGATAAAGAATTTGAGCTTTATCTACATAAAAGACATGAAACCTATCCAACAATTCTATGTGGGTATGGGAGTTGTGATGAGCTACTATGAGCTATTTCTTGTACTGGCAACACCTTCTACTACCAGTTTATTTCAGAAGACACCTGTGTATCCAAAGAACAAACACGGTAGTTTAAACAAAATGGTCACTCTTGTTTCTTCTGTACATAGAATTGACTGCAACATGTCTTGGAAACGATGCACATAAATATCCAGCTCCATGGTATACATAGCAGAATGCCGATTCTAGCTGGACAAGGTTGAAAATATGCCAGGATATATATAACATGCCTAGCTTTACAATTACAGAACTGTAGTTACCTTTTTGTAATACCTGTAATGGCTGCTAGGAGTGAGATTTCTGGATTTGTTGGGCTATAAATCCCATAATTCTTCAGGCCTAGGCCTAACTCCAACCAAGCATCTTGCTTGTGCCCCAGTGCTAGCTGGGAGATTTCCTTCTGAACAGGAAGCGTAGGCAAAGCTAAGCCTAGCTAAGGCAAAGCCTTTCAGAAGAGTTCTTTCTCCCAAGTGAGCCACATTTAGTTGTCTGTAAGGCATCTGTCTGTCAGGCAGAGCTCCCAGAAAGGAGGATTATGGGATCTGTATTTTTTTAAAAATTCAAAAATCCCATCTCTAATAGCTTCCATAAATTCTTGGTGTTTCTTGTGAATTATTCGGGGGGGACATAAATTTTACCAGCAGCTGCTTAGCTCTCCATTGGATAGTGGAGGAAGGTTTCTGTTTTACAAAGCATGTTAACATAGAAAGATAATGTGAAAATAAGGCTGATAATTCCCTATCTCCATAATCTTTGGCCAGGACATCCTTTTTTAATATCCACAGATTCAGTAAAGCAGCACACAAAGTCTTCTTCACAAATGTTTCCAATGGCCTGCCGTCAAACACCCATGGGACCAGCACTCTGCTAAACGAATCTTTTATTGTATATTGGCTGAAATCTGTTGGTGGAAATACCATGCAGAGGGCTGATGATGTCACCAGCAGGGGAAATGTTCAGTAACTGAAGATTTCCTCCTCTGCTGCTGTGGGTTGTCCAATCTGCAAATAATTAATTTCATTGCATGTAAGCCATGGGACAGAAGGAGGAATTCTAGTATTCCGATGGTCTCCCCCTGCTGGTAACGTCACCTGGCAGTGGCAATGTTTAGTAATGAAAGACTTCCTCCTTCAGTCTCATACGTCCAATGTGATGAAGCTGATTATTTGTAGATTGCATGAGCCACAAGAGAGAAGGGATGAATCTTTAATTACTGAAAGTCTCTACCTGTCATGACATCTTCCTCAAGTGTAGTTACACAAAGAGGATTTCAGCCATTGAATTCTTGTAACCCTCCCCTGCCTTTTTTTAATACTGGAAAACCACACATTCACTGGGCTTAGTTGCCATGACTATACAATTCATTTCTGGATGCTGAGCATGCTCAGCAGAGAGGGGTGATGGAAGGGCTGTAAAACCGTGAATGTATGGTGGAATAAACTGGTACATGCATGAATCAAGCAACAGAACCAGGCTATGTCTTGGAACGTCAGTCTTTTGATGCCAGCACATGTGCTTTTAGATCTCTGACACTACTTTCATAAATGCTGTAATACAAACCATGTGCTGGGGAATGTTTTTTCTCTCCTTGTTTCATGTGCATTTTCTTATAGGTTAAATGTGACATTACATATTTTTTTTAATCCCCTATGGCATGGGGCTAACTTGCTCTGCTCAGAACGGTAACACTCAATTAAGTAGACTTTTTCCCCATGATCTACACCCTCCATTGTTACCATGTTTAAAGGGAATAATGGGAGCACTGACCTATATTGCGCTTCTTATTATCGATGGAGATGAAGCGTATGCAGGGATTATTGGAGATGTACTGTGCTGCCCAAGGGACATCAATCTGTGTGCCAGCTTCATAAAAAAGGCCCAGAGCATAGCGAGAGGAGTAGCTCACAGATTCCAGTTGTTGCCTTTGACTTTTGTTAATTACTGTGGAGGGGAGAGAAAAAAAAGAAAAGGAATTAGACAATTACTTTTCTCTCAGAGCATTAAAACTGCAAATAATACTACAGTTAAGCTGCTTAATCTTCCCCCAAAACAGCAGTCGTATGTGCCTAGAAAAACAAGCCATGTACTATTTTATAGCTTTAAACAAATTAGAGAACATGAACATGAACCTAACTCTGAGTCTTTCGTTACTGTTATACAGGCATTTGTCAGGTATGTTTGGGAGATTTTAGAATCTGCAGGGCACTTGTTGTTCTGTGTTTTAGGAAAAAGCAAATTGTGGGGGGAAACTGCTGCAGTTCAGGGTTTCAGCTGTAGTCCATGGGAGTGTTCTGAAGCTCTTTAGAAAGAGGACACGAGCTCAGTATTCTAGAAGATGGACTCATGACAGTTAAAGTGGTACAGTGGTGCCCTGCATGACAATGATAATCCGTTCCATAGAAATCGCTGTTTAGCGAAAACATCGTCTTGCGAAAAACGTTTCCCCATTGGAATGCATTGAAACTCGTTTAATGTGTTCCAATGGGGAAAAATTGTCGTCGTTTTGTGAAGATCGCCCACAGGGAAGCCATTTTGTGAAGTGCCAATCAGCTGTTAAAATGGCTGCCCAGCGAAGCATCGGTCCCCAAAACACCCGTTTTGCGAAGCACCGATCAGTGGTAAAATTGCGAAAATCGGTTTGCAAAGCAGGGGCCCAAATATCGTCCAGCGAAAATCACTCATTGGAATCAATGTTTTGCGAACTGCTATAGCGATCACAAAACCTCATCGTCATGCGGATTTGTCATTTTGCGAGGTCGTAATCTAGCGAGGTACCACTGTATCAAACTGCTCCAACTGTATCATGTAGATACATCCTATGTAAACACAGTAGTGATTGTTGTAAGGGCCATCTCTATTGTTATTTTAAACCAGCAGGAACCTTCTGGTGATTTCTGAGTCTATATGATTGGAATGCGGCCAAGAAAAGGGCCCACAGACTCTTGAGCTTGCCCACTCCTGAAATAAGCCCAACAAATAAACCAAAAAGGAAAAAGCTGAAGAGAAAATGTTGCCTCACAAAATTATGTCACATACAAAGTAAATACGATCAGATTGCCAGTTAATGGCTACATTATGGAAGAGAATTGCATCTTACAATGGGTATCATATCACAATTTAATACACTAAATTTAGAATAGTTCCAAATGGGTACAGAAAATTCCAAAATACTGTACCGAGATCGCCAATGTCATTAAAAACATCCCCAAAACGTTACCAAGTAAACATAAACTGTTTTTCCCACAAGAGACATAAAAACTCTAAGATCAAATGAAGTGTCTTTATTCACCTTCAAGAAATCAGATCAAAATGGTTAATGAAATTTCATCCTGACACGTCTTGGACTGTGCTTAAAAATTTTTGGTAACAGAATGGGCCAGATATGCCCAAGAGAGCCTTTTCATTCACTTCCACAATAAAGGAGATTTGTGTTTTTTTTCTGATTTGGTAACAGAGGTGACATTAGATACTCAGAAACTCAATGGCCTTATAGGCCCCTTCCAACTCAATTATTCTGATTCTATGAAACCTCAGGCTAGTTGGAAGGTACAAGGTACAACTCAGCTTGCACTGAAAATGCATGTGTTTACTTGGAGTGCAGCTAGCTAGCTATATCCAGCTACTTTCAGGTCTCCAACACCAATTCTGACCTTTGCTGGCCATCCTTCTGAACCTTCACTGCTATACTTAGGGTTGCTTACCTTAGTTTCTCCTGCTCTTCCAGATCAGTGGTTCTTAACCTTTTTGAAAGAAACGCCCCCTTGAGCCATTGAGGAAGTTATCATCGTCCCCCTTCCCGCGCTATTTTAAGACGCAAAAAGAAATATAAAAAGGGCATAAAAACAAACTGCAATGCAGGAACTAAAAATTTCAAGATGAAAACTCTGAAACTAAATTAAGATTGGAGGAAAAAATATATATTCATGCACACTGTAAAAAGGCTGCAACCATCTTCACAGGTTTGGCTTCTCCAGTGCCCCCCTACTGCCCCCCTTCTGCTCCAGCGCCCCCACGCCGCCCCTTTTCGTTTTACCGCCCCCCTGAAAAATGAAATCGCCCCTTGGGGGGCATTATCGCCCACATTAAGAACCACTGTTCCAGAAGACAGTTCCTCTCTCTCTTAGAAACAAGACACCTCGGCTTTGATTTGAGAGCCTGTGGCCAAACATGGCTCTTAGCATCTTAACCTTCATTAATTAGAACTAGGTATCCTCTAGTCTTTCCTTTCACAATTTATTTCCAAGAACAAACAGTACCTTCCTTGCTTTCTTAAATGAAGAATCTGAGCTTGTTTATCTTCCAAGGATAAAGTGTACTTCTTTATCCTTATTTCAGAGGGGTGAACTAATGTGTCTGTAAGTTCACTCTACTAACAAGGTTGTTGTCTAGAACCCTGAAGAATATCTTGGTCTCAAGAATGTTAATATTCCTGTTCATTGGGTTAGCCAATGGGCCAGATATGCCCAAGAGAGCCTTCTCATTCGCTTCCACAATAAAGGAGATTTGTGCGCAAGCAAATAGCAAATTCATCCATGGAATTTCTGATATACAAGATATTCTGTATCTATACCAGGGCACATGTGGTGTGCAGCTACAAGGACCTTGCCCTGCCTGTTAAAACTCATGTATTAATTTAAACTGTCAAGATTGCATAATATATTTCAACCCCAAATTATTTTGATTTTCAAATCTCTGAAAGAAAAATAATAACCCACATGGGATAGAACTAAGATTCTTGTGATGGCAAACATTTTGAAACTGGAATAAAGCAGGCATGCAGGCATTTTGAATATAACAGCCAGTAGCAAAAAACCAACTATTGTAAGTAATGAGTCATCCTTTCATTGCTCATGAATAATATTCTTAAAATGGGTTCAGTTTTCAGTAATGTTAAGACACTCACAAGGGCAATAGCATATGCCTATGCTGTTATACTGAAACAGAAGATTGTAAGCAATGGACTAGAATGCTTATACTCATCAGTCAAGGTTAAATGTGCCGAGTCTTATCTACATCACTCCAGTGTTAATATCCTGTCTATATACTCATTCATGCATTTCACTTTTCTGCTGGCTCCGGTCCCTCAAAATGACTTGCATCACGAACACAAAAACATATACACAATAACTCTCTAACTGAACACTGCTTGATAAGTAATTAAGAACAAAAGAGACTGGCCACTAACATAGTGAGACAGCTTGGAGAAGATACCTGTAATGTCTTCCTAGCTTTCAAAAACCTGGTGAAAGCGAAAAGCTTTTACTACTACTACTACCATATTTCCCTGAAAATAAGACAGGGTCTTATATTATTGTTTTGCTCCAAAAACACATTAGGGCTTATTTTCATGGGATGTTTTATTTTTTTCATGTACAGCAATCTACATCTATTCAAATACAGTTCTGTCATCTTCTTCTGGTTGCTGCACAATTCTGGAAGGCAGGGTTTCATTTAGCTAGGGCTTATTTTGGGGGTAGGGCTAATATTAAGAGCATCCTGAAAAATCATACTAGGGCGTATTTTCAGGTTAGGTCTTATTTTTGGGGAAAAAGGGTACTACTGTATTACTACTACTAACAACTGTGTGCTGTCAAGTCAATTCTGACTTACAGAGATCCTTTTCAGGGTCTCCCAGGTGGAGAATATTCAAAAGTTGTTTAATATTCCCTTTTTCTGAGGGCATTCTGGGATTGTGCAGCTTGCCCAAGGCCACACAGGCTGGCCTTGGGTAAGCTGCAGTGGGGAGTCAAACTCCAAACCTCTGGCTCCACAGCCAAGTACTTAAACCACTGAGCTATCCAGATGCTCGAATAATCATCCTCATGTGCCATCACGTCAATTCTGACTCATGGCAACTCTTTTTAGGGTTTTCCAGGTAAAGGATACTCAGAAGTGGTTTGCCATTCCCTCCTTCTGGAGGCGCCTTGGGACTGTGCAGTTTGCCCAAGGCCACATGGGCTGCCTCTATTCACGGGAGGCACCAATTTCTCTAAAATCAGTGTGACTTGGTTACATTGCTTTCAGAAGAAAAGTGTCACCACTGAACAAATGCTATTTCTAGTAGCAACTACAGTTGTTTCAGGTGGCTGTGGCACCTCGTGCAGTTTGCCCAAGGCCACATGGGCTGCCTCTATTCACGGGAGGCACCAATTTCTCTAAAATCAGTGTGACTTGGTTACATTGCTTTCAGAAGAAAAGTGTCACCACTGAACAAATGCTATTTCTAGTAGCAACTACAGTTGTTTCAGGTGGCTGTGGCACCTCAATTTATGTATTTATGTATTTATGTATTTATTTCATTTCATTTCATTTCATTTCATTTATACCCCGCCTATCTAGTCAATTGTGACCACTCTAGGCGGCTTACAACATACACTTAAAAAATAAACATATAACAAACCACATCACAAAAAATAATTTACATAAATTAAAAGATAGAATAAATTTTTTTCCCAAAGATGGCGAGAAACAGGATATATTATAAGTTATATAAATACAAATAAATTACTCTCTCTTGTGAACCTTGCACTAGAGACAGGCTTCTAGAGAAGTGCTGAACATGGGATACCTGCATGTTGTAAGAGTCCATCAGTACACCTTTCTACATTTACTCAGTAAAAAAGAAAATACAAGACTTATCCTGAAAATCATGCGGTGAAACTGCTATCATCGAAGCACGTCCTTCTGAAACAAGAGCTAGGCACAGCTAGAGCAAAGGATGGGCCAGGACATTGTGTAAAACAACAAACAGGCAATTTATTCGCGAAGGCTTTCACGGCTGGGATCTAATGGTTGCTGTGGGTTTTTCGGGCTCTGTGCTTTCCAGAGTGCTGTCCTCTGAAGATGCCGGCCACAGAGACTGGCGAAACGTTAGGATGAACAACCTTCAGGAAACGGCCAAAGAGCCCGAAAAACCCACAACAACCAAACATGCAATTCTT